GGTATTTGTGGCTCTGAGAGACAAAGTGAGGGAGATCAACCTGCGGCTTTTCCTTCCTGCTCATCTTTAAACTAAAAAATAACACAAATGAAGGTTTGTGGTGTGATGGTGATGCATATTTGTACGTCCTAAATTTCTGGTCGAGGCATTCGTTGGAAATTCAAAAGAAGCTGTGAAAACCTCCACGTCTGAAGACTTTGAAGAAACACCCACCAGCGTGTGAACACTATGCTCATTCCTTTCCGATGAACAGCCCACTGAGAACGACAAGCTGAGCCTGCTGTTCACGTGTTTTTTTCTCATTCGGCTTCCTGTACGTTAAGACCGAGTCTGACAACAGGAAGTTGCAGCGACCTGAACCAAACCTCAAACAGCGAGGTGTTTGAGTTTTCAGTACCACGAAGATCGACTCAGACGCTCGCCTGGAGTCTCTGAGGCTGCTGAGAGACGAGGAAAAAGCCATCTCAGAGTTTGAGGCTGTTTCTGTTCCACCTTTAGGAAGAAGTCAGCCAGTTTTCAGACGAGGGATTCAGTCGACCGGATCTCGATTCATGAGTCTTCGTTCCTCGTTTGGTAAGAATGAAAAGTCTGTAACAGGCAAACTTGTAGAAATCCTTCTGCAATCGAAAACGGGCGATTTAAGAAAAAAATTATGGGGGGTTGGAACCAAACTGGGCCTATAGTGTATTTAATATCACTGCTGAGAATAAGTGTGAACTTTGACTACAAAAAAATGAGAAATTAAAGATATCACCACCACATTTACCTTTAAATCTCTTTATTTAGAAGCAAAACAACTGAATTATTTGTGTGCTATTCTCAGTCTCGTGTTCTCCTCTTATGGACCGAAACCACACAATCGTTGGCTTTTTCTTCATTTTCATATTTCTCTATTTTTCCTTTAACTGAGCTCCTTTTTAGTGTAATTTCTTACCTTTCTGAGATTTGATTTTAACCTTTTGTTGCTCTCACACAACAATTTTCTCGATTTCTTCTTGTTATTTAATAAGAAATCGTCTCAAAGTGCAGCAGTACAACAGAGCATCTTTATAAATGTCAGACTCAGGAAACCATCTGAGTTTTTTTTTCCATTTCCTGTTCAGTTTCCTGTTTGCAGCACATCACTTCTCTTTAAGCTTCATCTCTGCAGCCAAAGCTGATCAACAGGAGGCTCTGAGACTCAGTGAATATGAGAAAATGACTCACTGCCTGTGTAACATGCTCAAACCTCTGATTCATTCAGAGAAGGGGGGGGGGGGGTCGGCTGATCTTTTGGCTGCTCCTTATTTTTGTCACAGCAGTTTCAGCCCATTCGACAAGCTGAAATAAGAAGCTTTGCAGACAGTCAGGAATGCGTGTGACAGCGAGCAGCGACATTTCTGGGACTTTGGGGCTCGTGTAAAAGCAGAGGATCTGCTGCTCTCTCTTATTTGGCTCCCTGAGTTTCAATGCTGATGCAGTCTGCTGGTCTTCGGCGGCTTCTTAAAAAGCTGCCCGTGGATCAGGATGCTGACTGTGAAGGTTTTTATCATTTTTGCTGCCATTTTTAGTTTTGCCAAAATTTTGAAACAGCCTGTTTACACATGAAAACTAACAAAAATGAAAACTACCAGATCAGATTTTTAAAGATCCTTGAAATATCTAGTTCTGAAGTCTTGTTGAAGTTTGTAGGGATTCTCTGGGCAGTAAATATTAAACCCATTATCAGGCTTCATAATCGGGGCCTCTGACTTCCTGACTTATTTTCATGAACTGAACACCATCTGACTTCCTCACAGATCACCCTGAGTATGTATGAAAAAAGTCAGCAAAGGTAGGTTTTCTGACTGTTAGAGGTAGAATGTAGCTTATTTACTCTACTACTAAAGTACACCTTTAATGTACTTGTACTTCGATCAAAGTACTTCTATGTTCTGCTGCTTTCTAAACATTGGGTGGGTGTATTCCAAAACATTAATTTTAAAGCTTTTCGCACTTCTTATTTTGCAGATTTTCAAATAAAAATCCAAATAAAGCAGTGTAGAGGTCAGTAACTTATGCCAAGCATAAATCATGTTTGTTTTCTTTTACGGTGTTTTCTGGTGTGATACTATGATCCTGATAACACATTGTTTAAATAAAATACTCTGTTCTAATCTTATTATCAAAATCCAGTCACGTGACCTCATCTCTCGTTAGCCTTAAAGTAGTTGGCACATGGGTACATGCTAATGTGAAGAAAATGAGATAAAAACATTGTGTGATTGCATGTTTATTACATATTACCGGACACGGGTTTTACTGAGATAATTCAGGCTTTTTCTTCTTAAAATCAGCCGTTGAAAAAAATTTTTTTCTCCGGACTTCCTCCATCGCTGCACACTCAAACAGAGACGGAAACTAACTAACTAAGACTTTAACGTGTCTGACTGATCATCAGGTAATAGGCAAATATCAAAAAAAAGTTTCTCTCAGTGAGAGTGTGAGCTTAAAGATGTGGCTGTAGAGTCTTTCCTGTCGTCTGCTCTTACTCACCCACACTTTAGTGTCGAGATCTTTGCGTTAGACATGAGTTGGTGGAACAGATTAGGCTTTCGTTTGCTCTTCCCCCCCACTCTCTCACCCCCTCTGTGGGCAATCTGTCACCAGGGGTAATCCTAAAGTTTGGGCGGCCCCATCAATAAGCTGCCTTCACTCCTCCTGGCCATAACCAGTGCTAAAAAACTGACTCTGACTTAGATTTTAGTAAATATTAATTTACTGTTACAAAACATAACTGCTATCTGTTCATTATTAATCTCATATTTTTATATTATTTAAGTAATTAATTTATAAGATTAAACTTTAAAAAAAGAACAATACAAATGTAAAATATGTATAAATCGAGGTATCAGATATTGCTATTTTGTCAAAGCTCAGGCATCCTCACTTGAAACTGGAACCAGAAACAACAATCTTTTCTTTACTTGCAGATCTTTTCTGCAAGTGAAGAAATCCGACTAGTTTCTTATTTTACTTTGTTCCATGATCGCCAAAACTTGGAAGAATTTATTTTACAAGATACTGCACAAAAACTAAAAAAAAGAATCCACTTCATCAGATGTCACTGAGTAGTTCATTCTAAAAATAAACTCTCGTCTTCCACTCTTGTCCTGTCCTTCTTACATCTTTCTAGATCTCCCACATTGATGAGTTTTTCCTCTGTCTCTCTCTGGGATGGTAACTGTGCATTAGGTAGCAGACAAACTATAAAACGTTGCTCAAATACGGTACTGCTTTACTTACATCTGCACCATGAAAAAGTCACAGGCGGCTACTGAAAACATTACACTGCAGAGAAACCCCAGAAACACCAGCAGTATGATCACATGTTCTGAATGCAAAGAGAACTAATGAACTATGTGTTCAAACCCTACAGCTGAGACCAATGTGAGGAAGCTTTCCACACATCCAACATACTCTGAATGTTCACTGTGGAGAGAAACTATTCTTCTTTCTTCTTTCTTTTTCTTTTTTCAATTTTATTTATATAAAATCTGCAACGCCAACAGCACAACAGCAGTCGCCTCAAGGCGCTTTATATATATTCTCCACTCTAATGTCTGATTTCATATGTTTCAGCTCTGACTTCACTAAAGATGATAAAGATCTTGATAACCTAAACAAATAAGGCTTCATAAAAGACCAAACAGGACTGCTGATACATTCTGGATGACATTAATGACAATATTATCCCTTTACAAAAATTATAGGGCTGAATCTGGTGGTCTTGTGCAATTACATTTTGTAATGCTTTTAAACAGCAGCAACAACAAACTGGAAATCACCGACACCGCTGAGTAGTTGACCCAGTTTCAAAGCTACGTTTGCTGTAGCTCTCATACAGCCATAAGATCTCAGACTAAATAAAGATCACTTTTAAACCATAACATGATGTCTTTATTACATAATTTTAAGACAAATAAACAATTCTGGAGTCGTGTATACATAATAATTGCATAACATTAATAAACATTTTTATGTATTTTTATTTATGAATTATTTTCATTCTTTTCAGTAGATTACATCAATATTTGATAGTTCCTGTGGTCAGACGGCGATGCAATGTTCACACGTTAAAGGACTTTTATTCCATCTTGTGGCACATGGTGAGCTTATCTTTATTGGCCTGGAGGTTATAGAGTCTAACAATTTTACCACGAAGATAAATGCTATGGTGATTTGTTCAACAGTATATTACTGTACTGTATGTATGTTATGGCTCAAGTTGCAGTTGTACAAATACATATTCATTAAAATGACATTCAAATAACGTCAAAGTGCTTTTCATCTACTGAGCTTTCACTTTTGAACCTCATTTGACCCTTTTCATTGTATGTTTGACATCTCTAATTAATTTCTCATTTTGGCAACAGTACAGTGAATTGTATAATAATGGTTTAAAGATGAATCAAGCTGTTCTTTTTAAGCAAGGTGAGGTTAATGTTAAAGATCTGTAGGTCTTTTTGCTTGCTAGCCAAATAAGAAGGCCCAGAGGGCCAATACACAGGGACAGACAACCATTCACACCTCGTGGAAATTTGGATTATCCAATTAACCCATCCCCACAAGCTGCATGTCTTTGGATGGTGGGAGGAAGCCGGAGTACCCGGAGGGAACCCACGCAGACACGGGGAGAACATGCAAACTCTACACAGAAAGACCCCGGCCTGATGGTGGAATTGAACTCAGGACCTTCTTGCTGTGCGGCAACAGTGCTAACTACCGTGCCACCGTGCTGCCATGACAGCTGGGATAGGCTCCAGCCTTCTTTGAGTATTTTTAGTCAGATGGCAAAAAAAGATGATGTCATCAGCATAAAAATGCAAACTGAAGACCTGAAAAATGAACGTAAGAATTGGACTGAACTACAGGAGTGCAGAAGGGGACTTAAAGTAAATAAAAACTTGAATATTTCAAGTATCAGTTGATTTAGCATACAAGTTTTTCAAAGCACTAGAGGTTCTTTTCCACTGATGACATCAGAGGGCTGCCTCGGCCTCAGGAGGTGTGGTAACTCCCCACGGCATGCTGGGTAAATAGTGTGCCAGCCACTCCCCCCAGCTGCTCCTTGGCTCTTCTTCTGTCTCCGCCCCTCCTCGTTTCACTTCCCACCCTCCCACCACCCAGTCCAGCTCTTCTTTACCGCCCCCCACATCCTGTCTCTCCTCCCTCAGAATCACACTGTAGCGCTTTTTGGACACTCCTTCTCCACCTCTGCTCCTCTCTCTTTCTATCCCCCGATATCCTTTTTGACCTCCATCTTCTTCAGACACTCTGCACTCCTCCACCACATCCCTCCATCCCTCTATCTCCTCCTCTTTGCTTAACAGACGGTACACAGTCTTCTTATATACTGCTCGCTCCTCCTTCCCATTTCTTTCTCCTTCTTCCTCCCTTGTTGCTTCTCCACCTGCAGGTTTTAGAATGACAAGCTGTCCTTGTTTCCTGTCTCCTTTCCCTCCTTCACCTACATCTTCGCTTTGCATACCTTCTCCTGCCTCTCTGTGGACCAAAAGAACAGAGCGATAAAGCGCCATTACTCCTTCACCTCCCACTCCCTTCCCTTCCACCCTGTTGTACGTTAACAGCATCAGTCCTTCACTTCCTCCTCTTCTCCTCGCTAACCGCAAACATAGAGGCTTATACACTCTCCTGTACCAGATGACCATACTAGCTAAAGTTCCCAATATACATGCAGCTGATGCCACACAGAGCACCAGGCAGCCCGCAAACAGCCAAATGCAGAACAGCCCTGCAGGCCTGGAAGAAATAGATTTTTCACGTTCCTGTTTTTCATCGGGGCTGGATTTAGTGATGGTGAGTGCCTCAGAGGCTGTGGTAGCCTCAATGGTGGTGGTTGTGACTATGTTCATTGTTGTTGTTGGCAGTGTTGTAGTTACAGCAATAGTTGTGGTTGTTTCAACAGGTGTTGTTTGAGTTTTAGTCAAATGTCTGGCAGTAGAAGTAGTAGAATGAGTGGTCAAGTCATGAAACCCAACTGTTGTTATCTCTTTGTGTGAATACTCTGACCATTCAATAAGGCTGGTGATAACTTCATACCAGGACCTTGTGATTGTTGTGTGCATTGTGTATAAATCTACAAATGTTGTGGAATCAAGAGGAGAAGAAGTAGAAGGAGCTGTGTCTGGAGGAGAAGTCGATGGATAAAAAGAGTACTGAGTAGTTGGCTGGTAGAAATCTCCTCGTGGACGAGATGCTGAACACAGATCGGATTCTTCCAGACTTGTTACAGGTGTACCTTTGTGCTGCTGGGGAGAGTCACACACCTAAAAAGACAGTGACCATTTAAAAATACTTCAGGTATAGTTTTAATATATATAATCTCCACCATTACCGATGACCCCACCACACTCAAACACATCTTTATATAGAAATGTCCAAACAGAAAAAACTGTAAGGCCAAAATGTGAGCAGCTTGATTTGAAAGGTAAGTTTCAGAAACTATGTTTAGTAGCCTCTATAACCTCAACCCTAAGTGGTTTACCAGTGACTTGTTGGATGTTAAAAAGTTAATAGCAACTGTGCAGAACCAAAAATGCCCACAGTCTTTGTGTTCTTTTAGATGTGTCTGTATTTGTTTAATTTTTCTGTTTGTAGTACATACCACGCTTTCTACATCAATCTTGATATCAGGACCATCCCGCACATAGACGTTGTGTTCATAGTCATCAAGGTACCTGCGCAAATAACCAAGGGAGCAGGTGCATGACCAGGGATTGGCTGAGAGGTAGAGATAAGGTACCTCCTCCTTTTGGCTGAACCATTCATCGGGCATCATGCTGATCTGTAATGGAAAAGAAACTTTAACAATTTTAGAGACAAATAACTGCTGTGCCATGAGTGGCTGCAGCTGGTTTGAACTTGTATTCACACACTCCTTGGTGTGTATTTCCCACCTTGTTTTTCTCCAGGTAGAGAGTTTCTATGGCTGGGAGGGGGTGAAACATACTTTGAGGAAGCACCTTGATGTGATTAGATGACAGGTCCAGGATCTAGAGGGAAATAAAGGAGAAAAAAAATGTGACATTGAAGCTACTGAAATACAAAAAAATAAAATCAAAAAATCAGCTGATTGATGCACCTGAACCACAAAAAAATCAACTTGCTCAATTTTCTTCTGTTTATTAATTTACATGAATGCACTTTCTACTGGTTTGAGTCTAAATACACAAAAAGTTTATTTAAAAGAAAATAATCCACACGTGGACACTCACACCAGAGATCAATTTTACACTTTGTACCCCTCTTATATCACGTTTTGCCTTCAGAGTTGCTTTAATTCTTCATGGCATGGATTCAACAAGGTTCTGGAAACATTCCTCAGAGATTTTGGTCCAATTAAAAAGAGAGCATCACACAGTTGCTGCAGATTTCTCAGCTGTTTATCCATGAGGTGACTCTCCAGTTCCAATACATCCCAAAGAGTCTCTACTGGCATTACATATGATGACAGTGGGGACCATATGAGTAGAGTGAACTCATTCACATGTTCAAGGAACCAGCTTGAGATGATCTGAGACTTGAGACATGGCATGTTATCCTGCTTGATTTTGCCGATTCTGACCATACAGATCTAAATGGATCAAGTTTCTGCCATGTGATTGGCTGATTCTATAATTGTATTAACAAGCAGTTGAATGTGTGTATTTAACACATTAGCTGGTGAGTGGAAATGAATGACTTCAAGTCCAATCAAGTTTTGGCCATAATGAAAGGGAGCCAAGGACCACTTTGCTACACTCTTACTTCTTGAATCTTATCAGTTATGTTTCTCACTACCTTCAATTCTCAAGTGTTGATGACATGACACTGACTGTCTGTATTTTCTAAACCTCCTTTATGATTTTGCACATACTGACCTCCAGCTTAGTGAGTCCAGAAAAGGTGTGATCACTCAGAGAGTTGATAGCGTTGTTTTCCAGGTAGAGTTCAGTCAGACCTGGGCAGGCAGAGAAGGAGCCGTCAGGGAGGGAGGTCAGACGGTTTGATCCCAGCCTGAGGACACTAAGTGTGGGGAGAATGGGACTAGCAGTCGGGATTACCTCTGGAACCTGGACAACAAAACATCCCTTTGTATTAGAAGCTGACTAACTTCATGTTTTCTAAGATTCATTTACAACCACTGTTGACTTTGTGGCCACTGTACAGGCAGACAGAAACCTTGTTTCCTGTGAGGTCGATCTCATAGATCTCTGGGAAGACCTGGAAGGAGGACCAGGACAGACTGGAGAACAGGTTACTGGGAAACAACAGGATCTAAAGATAGACAGAAAATGTAGAAGCCTTTAGAGCTGTGGTAGTTTCCTGTAAAGTGTCATCTCTTAAACAGGAAATTTGTGTCTCTGCTTTGGTCTCCTCCTGTCAGTCAAACACTTGATCCATTATGGGATTTAAACTTTTTTTTCAACACTTTAAACAAAATTTTCTCATTTTCCTCACTGCATGTGTTAAAGTAAAGAGTGTTTAGCTGTGTAAGTGTATGGTAATTGTCTAGCTGCATGGAGAGATTAGCTAAACGTTTTTGATATTGGCTGTCAGTCTTAGCTGCAGTTGTCACAGCGGAAAGTCTGCAAATCCCAGATAATCATTTAGTTCTTGACAAAGATCCAAAATGGTCAGTTTGTCAAAACAAAGATATTAAAAAGTAAAGAGCAAGACAAGAATTTCTTCATAAATATTGTAATTACGAGAAACTAAGTCACATTAAGCAGGCCTTCAATATTTGGGTTTTACATTTTAGTAAATCCTGTGCATTTATTGGGAAAGTAAAATATGCTCACCGAATAAAATACCTACTTATAATGTACTGGTGTAACAAATTACAAAAAATGGATGCCAGGTTCATGGATATGGATAACGGAACCTAAAATGTGGTATAAGGTGGTTGCTTACTGTGCTGCTTATTACTGTAAATTCTCAAAATGCTGCTGGTTTTTAAAGTCTGTTCAACTTCCTAAATTTTCATTCATGTCCTTTGTCAGTTTTTCTACTTTATCAAATTAATATTAATATTTACAGGTGTATCTTTTCTATTCACTAAATGTTAATTCGTCATCATTAGTATATTACTAGTTTAAGCAGTTGTAAGTAAGACATTTCTCTGCAGAAATTAATTAAACTCCGCTCATTCTGAAATTTCTGTTTTAAAGATAAACTTCAAGCCAATTACAATAAAAAATAATAATAAAAATAAAAAAGCTCCTCGAAGGATTTATGTTTGTCATAATAAACATGTTTATTTATTAGTCACATGTTTTTAACTCATTCATCATCATTCTAATTTGTTTAAATTAAATTTGATGTCTTAAAATGGTTTAATCTAATTACAGAATTAAACTATAAATATAATTTCACACTCACAGTTTTTTTTTAAATTAAACGGAGTTATTTCCTTCACACTTGACTTCCTGTGGTTTGTGGCATTACCATTGTCGTGGGTTCAAGCCCCACTGGGATGTCGCTGAAGCCGGCTGCTGTGCAGTTCTCCCTGGGCCGGTGGTCCTTGTCCCGGTCACTGCGGCAACCGGCCACTGCTACTCCCATGGAAACACAGGACAGGAGGATGAGAAGGAGGAGGAGGTGCCGCATCTTCACTGAGACTCTCAGAGACTGTCGGTATGTCTCAGTCTTAGAGAAGAGATGGAGAAAGTGAAGGAGGAGATGCCTGGTAGAACAGGAAGTGTGCACTTCCTGTGTACGTGTGTGTGTGTTTTGACTGACAGCTGCTGAAGCAGGAAGTGTGATAACTGTTCAGTTGACAGATTGTGTATGTTTGACTCTCCAGCCTCACGGCATGTGTGTTTCGATTTTTTCATGTCTTCTCGACAGCTTCCTCTTTGAGTGTTTCACATAATGTTTACTTGCATGTTCAAACTTCCTGCTGTTGTGAACCAGAGTCGATAAGGATGTTCTGAAGCATTCTGACAGCAGAGCTGCCAGCACTGATGTGTGGGTTACTGCAGGAAATCTGCTGAGTCAAGCGGTCTCTGTTTCAGTTAAATCCAACTGATGCGGCGTGAAAAAATAAGGTGTGTTACATTTGAAACTTCGCTGAAATAAAGTTGGATCTGCTAAAGTGAATAAACACAGTGTATGGCTGCAATAAACAACGTCTCCTCCATGTAAGCAAAGGAGAAAGTCTTCTTCACATCTATCCCAAAGGCAGTACTGATGTAGCCTCGGAGTAGAGCTGCTCCTCCTGAGTGTCAAATTGTGCCATTTGAGGTTGTCAGGACATTGTGAATACCCAACACTGGACAAGGAAAAGATGATGGCTCAATGGATAGAAGGATACTTTGTGACCGCTGTTAACATACTTTAACAAAGACATGTCAACCTGGCAACAAAGAAAATTGAGTTTTTAAAATAGAGGCAACCCAACCTTACCAGTATGCATAACACTACGCTTCATTTATGTGAATCTATGAATAGTTGAAGCTGTAGAAAACTGAAGTGGCCATTCTGCAGTATTAAATAGGTAAAAATGCTGTCAGCATTTATGGCTATGAGGCCTGTGTCTACTAAAAGGCAAATTGACTAATACAGGCCTTATTCACCCATTCACAAACACATTCATACACTCACTTCAGTAGCTGCATCAGGCCCAAATGTAACATAGTTTTGCAGGGAGCTAAAGAACATGAACATTGTTCACCTGGCCTCTTCATCAAGCTTGACCCTGTAACTTTCTAAGCTGGATCTGCATCCATAACGCCAACGTTTCTGGATGGGGTCCACCTCCCTGGTCCATTGAAAGAAAACAGCCAGGATACTGCACGGAGGTGCAGGTGAGGTTGAGGTGATTTGGCCAAGTGGTTCGGTTGCCTCCTGGGCACCTCCAATTGGTGATTTTCCAGACAGGAAAGGAAGAGACCCCAGGGTAAACCGAGGAACCTTTGGTTTCACAACAGAGAACAGAGATTCTCAGGTAGTTTCTGGAGCTACAGGAAAAGCTGGAGTGGTTGATAGAATTGACTTCAATTTAGTTAAAATGAAAAACAGTGTTACACTGAAAAAAAAAATAGAATTTGTGAGTTTGGGACTCAAATTTAAAGCACATGGATTTGACTTCTAACAAAGCAGCCATCAGCCAACATGATAAACACTACTGCAGATTGGAAGATAAACCTGAAAAAGCTTGTTTTACAAGAGAATACAAAGATGCATTGATCTAAACTAGTGTTTTGTTTCCAGGTAAAGGTTCCTGCTTCTGACTGGCAGCTGCTGTTCCGTTATCATGTTTTTATATTAGGTTGCATTTTTTTAAAAAATTCATATAAATGCATTAAGTGCTACCTGGGAAGAGACCCTGATGTAAATCCAGAATTCAATGGAAAATTTCTATATGCCATCTGGTCTGAAACCCCTCTTGGGAATCCCCTAAGATCGACTGTGTTTAGTCCACTGCCACTGTGACATTGCCTTAAAGGGAAAATAATTAACATACAGATGAATTCTACGTCACATTACGCACACAAAAAATGCATAAATGTACAGCTCTTTTTGCTTGTGATCTTTGCAACGAAAAATACTTTCTGCTTTGTCGTTTCTATTCTATCTGAGTTATCATTTCTAATCTAGGACTCATTTAAAGCAACTCTTAAATGGGGAAACTTGTTTGTACCCTGGAAAAACACATTGTTGCCATCCATAAATTAAACTTCTGGGTTATTACTTAACAATTTTCACTTACTACAACAAACTAATAGGAAAAGTTATTTTCTCAAACAGGCAGTGGATCTGGACCAGTAAACAGCAGGCTCATTTTTGCCATGGAAATCATTTAACAACCAGGAGATGCCCCCTGCAGGCCACTAGAAATTATGCAGTTTTAAGACACTTGAGCAT